CACTTTCTCCAGAGTTTTAGCAAAAGTGTTGGTGTTCATGATGTAAGCAGAGCATGTTTCTATCTCTGAACCTATGTACCAGGTTATAATATAGACAGATTCCCTAAGGCTTTACAGCATCTAAGGTTAAAGATAAAAGGTAACTTACTGTTATAACTTGCTGTTTAGTGTGTCCTTTGTAAATCCTGTCTGCTTCTCTCCGCTTCCCCTCCAAATGAGTGTGTTTGCAGGTCAAATAAAAGGTGGCTAGTTTGTAATGCCTTAGGCATGGAGAAACTGAAGGAAAGCGGCACAGGCCCACAAACCAAATCTTAGAGCTAGTATTCTAATTATGCATGATTCAAAATGTCTAGTGTAACGTAGTTATTACCAGTAAATTGAGATATGCATTTATACATAATGAAGCAATAGGAATTAATATACCAATAGCTTGAACTTCCTGCTTTGATTCTCAAATTTTGGTTTTTTTAGAGAATGTGCTGCCTCTGTAGAGAAAGGGGCAGAATGTATAGATAGGGACAGAAGCATGGCACCAAAACTGTAAATCAGGAACCAGAATCAGCAGAACTCGCCTTTATAACCTCTTGTCTGGTTCATATTAGTGCCCTGAGCATGTAAAAAGCAGGGCATGAACTAAGCATGTTTAGGGGCGAGATGAGGTTTCTCACCTGCTGCAGCTGTAGCAAGGAAAAGGGTGCAGAGTTTCTTACAAGGTGCAGGGGGGAGCAACTGATGGAAAAAAAAAAACAACAAACAACAACAAACACAAAACAACACAAAAAAAACAAGTAACAGAAACCACAGACTCAAATTGAGTGTAGTATTTGCCAGACAGTAGCTAATAAGCTTGGGTGTGGTGAGAGAAATTATTTGGAGAAGACTGAAATTAATAAGCACAGTACATATATTTCAGGTGTTGAATAGCTTTTTAATAGACAGTATTTTCAGGTAACTCTCTAGCCACATAGGCAGCTGTACTGAAGCATACTGGTACCAGCCAGCAATAATGGCACCTGCAGGAATGAACCTGAAAATACTGGTAATCTTGTATATTTTTTAAGTTCTTTAAAGAGATTTTTTAAAAACAGAAAATGAGATTTGATCACTGAAGGTCTTTGTCTTCTGCAACACAGGTTGCAATGGTCTTTTTTCTTTATTTCACTTATTTAATAAAAGGGAATTTGGGTGCCATCTTTCTGTAAACTTTTAGTGTGTTCTCTGTAATCTTTCCCAAGTCTTTTAGTGGATAATGCAGTGAATTTCTGCTGGCAGTTTGAAAATAACATAGAACATGTGGCATAGCCTATGTCACTAATACTTTTCCAAGTTTAAACTTACATTCAAACATGTAGAATACTAGCTTGTTACTGCAGAATTCCATACTTCTAGCTTAGCTTAATTTTGTAGGTGGGCTTAACTTGTGCAGAACACTTCTCCATGTAGAGAGGCTCAGTCCTCTTTCTTAAATAGAAAGAGGAAGCATCTTGGCAGAAGAAATTGTGTGTCAAGTTAACTCCTGTTCATAGTTCATAGCCAACCATCCATAAGGCACCGTGATTTGTGTTTAGAATGGGGTTGCATTTTTCTCATGAATGCTCTTTCTAGATATACAAGAATTGCCAAATGAAGATAGAGATATTATAGGAGAAGATAACTATTTTATGCTATCAGAAGTTAGACTACATGAAATCCTTTGAGCCAACTTCTTCAAGCAAAAAGGGAACTTGTAAAATAAGTTTAGCCCAGTGGTTAATCATGTCACCTAATTCTTAGTGGGTATTCTTTAGTACAGTTCACATGGGTTTAAACCCTGTTAAATATATTTTCTTTTGTGTGATGAGTAATCAGTTGTATCCTTTGTTAATGCTTATTGCCTTCAATATAAAACCTGGGGAATAAGCTACTTTAGGATGTCAGTGAAGACATCCTCCTTTTGAAAAGTATGATATAACAGCAAAGGAGAAGTATTAGTTATAGATTATTAAAAATTACCTTAGTACTTAAAAAACAGGCTAGAAAATACTTCTTACGCTGAACTTCTGATGGCATGCTCACATGGATTAGCGGAGGAAATTATTGGTGTCACTAGGATCTATGTACTCCCATTGCACATATGTTTTTACATGGTAACAGTGGAAGAATGTCTCCCTGCAAATTCTGATGTTTTTCCAAAAGGCAGCTTGCTTTTATATCTATGCATCTTTGAGGATTTCAAGATAAGATTTTATTCTTTTGACACTGTAAAGAGGAATTGTTTAAAAATGAACTTGGAAACTCTGCACCTGTATACAAATTTTTTTAGCAATAAAGCAGCACAGGCTGAGAATGCACTAAAACTGGATGTGTCATTTGTTCAGAAGACAAATTAACCAACCTAACTATACACTCCACTTCTGAGGTGTTTGTACTTGGCATACCTTTGTCAGAACTTCACAATTTGAGCTAAACTAACATACGCTGCTGGCTATCTGCTTTGGGTCCAGCTGTTCTGGCAGACTTCAGGCACAAGACCCTCTGACTTCTTGGAAGGCAACTAAAGAAAAATTGTTACTCCACTCATACCAAGATGGGCAATTTATCAGATAAAAGCTTCAAGGGTTGTTTTAGATGGTAGCAGAAAGCTCTGTTGCTTGTATAGATTGTCTAAAAGTAGTAAGCCCCTGAGAAAACTGTTTCATATATGTGGATTGTGTACTGTTTTGGCAACTACATTTCCGAAAAATTCCTTCTGTGGTTGGCATGTCGCAACCTGCAGGGAGGCACAACTTTCCTTGCAGTTGCTGTTGAAAGCAGTTTTGGGGAGGGCTGTAACACAGCAGCATGACACCACCTGACAAGGACTGCAAAACCGGTTATGGATTGCTAACCTTTATGGTAGCCTATAGAAGATTCACAGTATGATTGTTACTTCAGTAGCCTGTTCAGACACCTTAATTGTTTCATTTTCTAGTTGTTTTTGTCTTTAGATTCCAGAGAAGACAGCTGCTGGTTAGCTAACATAAGAAGGCCTGACCTTGAGACTTGCTTTCCAAGTGGTTGGTCTTCATTTAAATAGAGAATCCATCCCTCCCACACCAGACTAGCCCTGGCTGCACTAAAGCTAGAACACATCTCTCAAGATGCCTAGTTAGAGGAGATGAGGTTCTACACTAGAATAAGAAAAAACCCAAATATTCACTGATCAGTTGTAGATTAAGAAGAATTTGAATTTGGGACAACCTGTGGGATCAAACACTGAAGCTTTCAGGAATAAAAGTTTATAAGCATCATTTAATCAAAATGTACCCATTGGTTTAAGTTGATATCTCAGTAAATGTTCATCTCAAATTACTGAAGATAACGCATTTATTTTATGTGGCTTGCTTCTTAAAACAATTTACTTAGAACACTGTACAGCTGTGAGTGTCAGCAGGTACATCAGGCAATAGTCAGTGCCAAGAAAACACATCATTTGACAAACAGACACAAAGGACCACAGCTTGACTCAACAGAGCAGAGATCCTCTCAGTTCCAAGATCAGAGAAATGTAGTTTAAAAATTTACCAGCTATCGTTTAGCACATACTCAATATTTGTTTAAATTCATGCTAAATAATGTAATATGAAGAACCATTAATTTAATGCTTCATCATGAACTGGGACCCAAGCAAGATAAACTGATGAGGTTTTTTTCTGCAAACATAATCTAAGGAAAAAAAGGGGGCTTGTGACTCACATGATATTACCAGTTATCTGCACAACATATATTTCTGAATTTCAGCTTTGTTTTTATTTTAAAAGTTTCTTCTTTACAACTGTAAAGATAATATAAAGAAAATGTAACTGACAGCTTTCTTTTCCTTTTAGGGATAGACACTTAGCTAAATGAAGCAAGACAATTTAGCACTATTATACACAGTATAGATGTAAACTATATAGCAAGAAACAGTCCCTGTGCAGAAACCAGACTGAAAGGGCAAAAGTGAATAGTCCCATATCAGTCATGGTTCTTAGACTGATGCAACAACAAGGCTGTCACTTAGAAAGTAACACAAAAGTGAAGTTATACAATGGAAAACATTTACCAGAGATGGAAGATGCTTGCACAAAATGAGCTGAGTCACAAGACCCCAGTTAAAGACCAACAGGCCCTTAAATGTAATGCAGAAGTCACTGCAAAACACAACTGTATTTCATCATTAAGAACAAAGAAGTTTTTAACCAAATACAGCAAATCCAAACTTTACATGCATATAGTGACAACTCTTAAGAGCAACCTTACAGTACAGGTTCAGGACAGAGCTCATTTTAGAGAAGATAACATTTACCATTACAGGCAATGAAGCAGATCTTACAAGAGTGTAATGCTTACTTCAGGTAGTTACTGCACTCCCACCTGTCAAATTTGTAAAACAATAAAAATAATTTAGATAGCATACAGTATTAAAATTTAACAGAGAGAGTCCCTCCTCTCCCTGCAGAATGGCTGTTGCTACTCTATGTTACTGCTTAATCAGAATTAACTGAGACAACCTGGAACTCTCAATCAAAAAGCAGCACAGTGAACATTAGTAGTAGTACAAGTACCAGCTAACCACCTAAAGCCTCTGAAGTGGCTTGCGGTGAATTTTGTCTGTTCTGCTCCAAGCCCATTACAAGAGTTATTTTACAAATAAAACAATTAAAACCATGAAATACATGGAGACTGGCATCAGCAGCAACGGGGAGTGCAATCTGCCAATCATATAAGGAAGTAAGGGAATGGCAAATTGCATCACTCAAATTAAGTTGATCAAGTAAATACAATCCTTTCCAGACTACTACAGACAACTACTAAACTTTATAGAAGATTTAAAACATCAGCCCTTCAGGGAACAAAAGGGAGAGGTAAAGGACCCTTAATCTTCAAACTAACAAGAATTAGGGATATTCTATCCCAATAACAAGGGGTAAGTAGTATTCTTTCTTTTCCATCAAATTACTTTCTAGATGAATGGGTTCTGCTTCTTTCCAAACAAAAGAGAAATGCCAGCAAGTACCCATTAGGTATTTTTTATGAAACATCTTGATTGGCCAAGTGAAGGCAGCAAGCAGATCATCACAACTTAAGCAGAGCAGTGTTCCCACGATTGAACAGAAGACCGCTCCTTGGTTTCACAGCTTCAGCCCCTGAAAGAAAGGCTCAAATCTCTTAAAGGCAGTTGCTCACAGCCTAAGCTTCACGGAGCTGCCAGAACTTGACCCAGTCCTGTGCAGTCATGGGGCTGCACTTCCAGAGGACTCGGCTGGCACATGGGTTGCGCCCAAATTAAAAATCCAAAACCTTGTGCTCCAGCCAGCATTGTGCTGTCCACATGCATGCACTAAGCACACTGTGCAGCTTCTGTGACATGCTAGCTTGCTCCTTTTGCAGGCCACGCACACAAGCAAATCTAAAAGAAGTAATCATTTAGCAGTGCCTCACATACCGGACTGCAGCTAATGAGCCACTTGACCAACAGCTAGCTGCCATTAACACTGTATCCATATGAAAAGGTAGGACAAGAACTTTAGATCTCTGTAAGAATGTTCAATTTATAATAGCTCCTCTTGAATATCATCTTGTTAGTACGTTTTGTACGGTTCCAGAAACCTGATTTTAGTATTTCAAAGGCTGTTTTTACCCCTGAAGTCACTAAAGAGAAACAAAGTCGTAGTTATACCATCTCAGAGAGCGATGTGCTGCATGGGTGAGCTATTCATTTTTCCAAGCATAACTTCAGTATGTCAGATTTTCAGGTGTTCCCCTTGGATTGAAGGGATGCACTTAAGCATTGGTTCTTTCCATGCACAGATAGAAGTGACAGATAACACTCAAACCTGTTCTGGTTCATTGTTTCATCACAATGAACAAATTCAGCAGAGGTGCAGAAACAACTCCATTAATTTTTGAAAATGGCATATTATTAGTTGACTCTGACTATTGCATATCTTGGCAGTAGGCCATCTCCACCTGATGCAGAGCTCTGCCTTTCTGCCACATTATTCTTTTGCTCCAGTTCCTCTAGCTTTTTCATCAGCAGTTCTATGCGAATGTGGGCCTTCACAAGCTTTTCTTTCACCTAGAAAAAAAGAGAAATAAGAGTATTAAAACTAGAGAAAAATGTCCTGACACTGGATCTTTGAATGATCTGCACCCCACTTTCAGTGGCTAAAGAGCAGCTGACTTTCAAGATGGAAAACTTAGCAGTCTTTAATCTCTAGACTGCATGTCTAGTACAGCCAAACTGGCACCCAAATCAGAGGCCTGAGCTACAAAGAGGAGATAGATGAATGTGTGCCAGCATAACCCCTTTCAGAGATGTCTGGAAATACTCAAGGAGACAGTTGCTGGAGCCTTACTATGATCAATCCAATCTTTCCTAGTTAACTCGTTACAAGTTTTTACACAGCCGGAGACCTTCTTTGACAACATCTGGACAGACCGTTTCACCATTAGTTTAGGAATACATGTGGACAGTCCCTCCAAAATGCCATTTCCAGAGTCTGGGATTTAAGTTAACACATCTAAAGCACAAAAATAAAATCCTGCTGACATTATGTCTCAAAAAGCAGAGACCAGATTCTTGCACTTGTTCTAGTCAACAAGCAAACTCTCCACAGTCACATAATTTGTGTTTGCAATGAAGTACTACCATTTTTTTACTTCAGATAAATGTGTCTCAACTTTAGAAGTCTTGCGTGGATAAGATTTTTGCATTTGAACCTCACCTGACCTATAAAAGCACTCTGATCTTATGGTAAGACACTGGAAGATTACTTCAAAGAGGACAAAACTTAAAAAAAGTCACAGGCCCATTTCCATGCTTAGAACAGAAACTAAAAAAAGAAGAAAAAGTAAGGAACAAGCAAGCACATAAATACTGGATACACTGGCTGTCTCCTACACACAGTTACTTTATTTGAGCTACGGGACAGATAATTCACTAAGTTAACAACTAACCAAGTTACAGAAAAGAACAGCCAATTTAAACACCAAAGCCAGCAGGTTCTACTCTTGTCTCTGAAACTACAAGTAAATACTGCCATGCTGTGTTGAGCTTCCATAGGCATAAATACAACTGTGCTAGAATCCCTTTCAAATTAACAAATTGCTATTTTTTAAATTCTTCAACAGTGGCTTATCAATTCTAGGGACTACACAAGTAGTAATACTGAGGTGAAGTCTGTCTAAACGATTCTTGTTTTTTTTTCTTTTCAAAGTGTAGAGATAAAAGGATAACACACCTTTGCCAGAAAATTAGCTAGAACTGGATATGTTTTGCAGATAAGTGGTTCTAGAAAATGTTTTGCACATCCCATACATTTAAGTCAGTCACTGTATTATAAGTCAGTATTTTCTCCACCCTATGCACTTAAAAAAAAAGCGATTATATTAATATTTTTGGACTAATATCCAAAAATATCAGCATTGTAAAAATATTTTCCATACAAATTAATGTAGAAACCTTACTTCCTGCAGTTGTTTCTTTAAGGTCACAGTAGGAAAATTCACCTTAGAAGCTTCTATTATCATTTGGTTTTTTAAGAGATAACTGGAAAACAAAAGGGGAAAGGAAAAAAAACCCAAGGAAAACAGTTAAAAACCCCATAGTTGCATTCATTGTTTAGACAGATTATTTAAGATGATTTTAAAGCAGATAAAAAGTTGTTGCCAGAAGTAGTCAATACAGTATGAAAATATTAAAAACATAACAATGATTTAACTTTGAAATCATAAGATCCTCTCATCACCAGCTATAACTAATTTACAGTTTCTGTAGTCAAGTTCTCAATCTATCATGGAACTACTTTGATACCTTACATTAGCTAAGTGAATCTGGAACTGAAGGAGATTTCAGTATTGCAAACAACTAAATTTAAACCTTGACATTACATGAAGACACTCAAGAAGTGCAAGGCAAATCAAATGGAGTCACACCAATACAAACAATTTAAGCATAGAGGATATTAAAATCCCACACCAACATGCTCAGTCAAAAGTAAAGCTGCTTTTATTACTGTAGATTAGTTGTACACCCTGTTGTAATAACTTACAAATTCCCGTGAAATCACTGACCGTAAGACTACAGTATACTCACCAGAGGATCCTGTCCTTGAAGAAACAGAATAAGCCTCGGAGATACGCCAGGTCCTTGGAGGCAGAATAAAGAATGAAGCCCACAGTCAAGCCACATAACCGACAGGATAACGCATTGTAAGCACTAAAAGGAGAAATACAAAAATACTATTAAACAGAAGCTTCTGAAACCACAGACACTGCATGCTTGTCAGAGGACATCAAATCTTCGGTTCTGTCGAGCATGAACATAAAAAGTTGGGCATGTTGTGCAAGAAGTAATCTCTGTAGTAAGTGAAGTTGCAGTTAAGGAAGAAAATACATCTCTTATTATCACAGAGTGGTTTAGGCTATACTACTTAAACAGGATTTAACTGGTAAAACAATGCCTGTGCCAGGTCACAGACATGAAATTTCTTCCTGATAAAACAGATTATTGCCTCATGCTAAGGGAAGGGGGGAGGGGGGAGGCAAGTCTTATAAAGTTCCCAGCCCTTACCGTTTGTAAAATAGCCTTTAAACATAACTTAAACCAACTACTGGTTCTGTAAGTCCTCAGATGATATTTACATCCTTCCCATCAGACTAATGCCAGAGTCACCAAAACCTGTTGCTAATTGTAGTCTTGTGAATAGAGCAGCAGGAGTTATTCATTTTCAGTATTAAACAAAACCCCCTAAGACAGAGATGTTTTTATTTAGGCAACAGACCTTTTAGGGAAGGAGCAGAAGGAAGAGACGTAAAGGCTAGGCTGTCTTTCACCGCACTGCTCAAACGTTCCTCTCCACCAACAAAGGCGAGAGCGGCAAAACTCTGGATTTTGACAAAACCTAAAGCTACCTACCTACAAAAGGTTTCTCCACCCGAAATGACGAAGCACGGGTACAAGAAGCACTTCGGGGTTTACCGAGCCCCTAAGAAACCCCGGCGCGCAACCCGGAGGGTCTCCAGGCTCCCTCCCGGCCTCGCAGAAGCCCCTCTTTGCCCCCGCAATTTACCGCCCCCACTGTTCCCGGCGGGCCCGATGCGGAAAAGCGAAGAACCAGGCGAGCTACGCACCACCCCAGGAGGGCTCCCTCCAGGCCGATCATCAGCGAATCCTCCCAGGCCACGTCGTTTGTGACTTCTGAGGAGAAAGAGAGACCCGCTGAACCCGAGACACACACAGACCCCCCCACCCCCCCCCCCCAACCCCTCCC